CAGCACAACTTCAGATCTGTGTACGACCTGGTTGCTGCACCAGAAGGGTGGAATAAATTGCACAGTATAAGGGTATCTGCTGGTTCATTTATTACAGCTGCTATGCAGAAAGCTTATTGCCTCCCAGAAATGGTATTTGTTGATCCTGTATGTATAACAGAAAAATACCAGAGGCTCTTTATATAAAGCTTTCTCAACTGTTAGAACAGCAGCCTGCCCTTACAAGGTTTCCTCTCCATGGGGATCTTAAAGATAGTGAGGGGATGTGCACAAAGACCAGAACTTAACTGCATTAGCTCCTCAGCTCTAACTTCTTGTGTCTGTTTGGCCACACCTGAGCCAGCCCTGGGCTGAACAAGACATTTCAGGGCACTTGAGGCAGTGAAAACAGGGTGGCTGGGCCAGCCAGGCTGCTGCCCCTTCCCCTGACTGTTGCGAAGGCCACAGCATGCACTGCCCCTGCTGCAAGGTGAACCTCAGTGCTGCGTCTGCAGGCACCCGAGCTTGCTTCACTCCCCTGCAAAGGCGAAGCTTTAGTGAGATTCAGGCCTTGTCCTGAACGAAGCTGGTGAGGGGTCTGGAGCACAAGTATTACAAGGAGCGGCTGAAGGAACTGGGGTTGTTCAGCCTGGAGAAGAGGAGGGTGAGGGGAGACCTTATTGCTCTCTACATCTGCCTGAAATGAGGGTGTCGTGAGGTGGGTGTTGGTCTCTTCTCCCAGGTATCGGGCGACAGGATGAGGGGAAATGGCCTCAAGTTGCGCCAGGGGAGGTTTAGATGGGATATTAGGAAAAGTTTCTCCACTGAAAGGGTGAAAGGGTTGTTGAGCATTGGAAGAGGCTGCCCAGGGATGTGGCTGAGACCCCATCCCTGGAGGCATTTAAAAGACGTGTAGATGTGATGCTTAGGGACATGGTTTAGTGATGGACTTGGCAGTGCTAGGTTTACGGTTGGACTCTGTGATCTTAAAGGTCTTTTCCAACCTAAATGGTTCTATGGTTCTATGATTCTGGGTATCATCATGGGGAGCAGGGGAGTCTGCAGGAAAGAATATAGACCAAGACTAGGGATGGAGGGAGGAATTGGGTAGGAAGCACAACTGCTAGCTTGCATTCAAGGGGAAACAGCAAGCCATGATATACTGCTACATGACGAACAAGTATAACAGAGCGTTGACTACTGGATACCTTCCACTAGAGTCTACTGGCTTATAGTTTGCTCCTGACAGGTCCCGAGGGCTGATGAGTCTTCTCCTGAGGCTGCTCCTCCCAAAGAAGCACCCCTGCCACTGCTCAACTCAGATGGCAACTTTGGTCCTGGAAACACCATCAGAGCTGCTATGCTTCTGCACTGGTGCCAGGTTTTGCAAGAAGAAAAAGGAGCCAGGAAGTTTCGTTTCTATAAACGTGACTCAAGATTGTCCAGAATTAGAATTCCAGAAGTAGTTTGGCGTTTGTTTCAGTCGTGGGGCTTGGTTTATATTTTCATTAATGCCTTCAGGGACTGAGCCAAGTTGCAATCAGCCTTTTCTCTCAGGCTCGTTCTCACAAAGCAAGACCAAGATACCAAAAAGTTTTTCTGGAATGTAGAAATCTTCTTGGTAAAAAACATTAACCAAGCAAGCCTGCAATTGCTGTGCTCGCTAGTTAAAAAAATTAATCCACTGCATGGTGGGCAAAAGAAAATGAATCCATTTCTGAATGGACAAGACACTTCAAAAGCTTTGGTGGGTCTGTCAGGAGAGTGGTTTTTATATGGTAAGGAGAAATCTGATCATTGAAGAAGTGCCTGGAGAGCTGGCAGCTCCAACAGAGCAGTTGAAATAGGAGCTCAGAAATGTTTCAAGGTACCTTTGGTAGACTTCAGATAGATCAAAAAGAGAACTAACAAATGTTCATTGGGGTCTCCATTTCTGTTCCCACTTAAGAATTAACTGAAGGAAGGCTGGAGCTGCTCTGAGCACAGCGTAGACCTGACCATAACACACTGTTGGAAGAAAAAGAAAAGCAAACCCCATTCTGGAATATACGAAGATCAGCCAAATCTGCAACAAGACTCATCCCAGTTCATCTGCCACAAATCCCCTGTAAAGATGACACAAAATTGTAAATTCCTACCCTCCATGATGTTTGGCACATTCTGTTTCCCATTAAAAGGAATTAGGTAAAAATGGTTCAATTTCTTGCCTTTTTTTTTTTTCGCCCCACTTTTAAGATCCTCTCTGAATAATACAGTACTCCCCTCTGTATACTTGTTAGAACTTTGGCATCTCATGTTTCCAGAGCATAGTGGTTTTAAATAGAGAACAGGAGCCAAAGGTGATTTGAAGAATCCTGATGCACGCTCTTGTTACAGCAACTAGCCTGGGCAGCGGGGAGCGGTGTGGGTTTCTCCCATGTGATGGCTGCAACGCAAGGCCTGGTGGAAGCCGATCTGCTCTGCAACAGCTGACTCAGCTCCACGGTGGGGAAAAACATATCGGGTCTGCCTTATGTACGCAGCCTGATGCGAATTCCAAATGGCACCTCACCTTCTTGCAATGTTTCAGACACACACACAAGCGAGGAGTGTGAGCAAACAGTTTTGGTTTTTTTAAAAACATCTCCCTACAGTTCAACAGTTTATTGCACTTCTGTGACCAATTTTCTGACGTGAAGAGATCATTATAACAATTTTTAAGTGTTTCAGGGAGCAACACATGGCATGCACTCAATGTGTGCTGTGACAAAATTCAAGGTAGTAATCGGTAAATTTGCGACCGCCTGTGCAGAACAAAACTACTCAAAAAAAGCAGACAAGCAAACCTTGCAAATAACCCATGATGAGCAAAGTAATTTGTGTTGAGACTACCATTCATTTTGAATTAAAAAAAATTCACTCTGAATTAAAAAAATATATATATATACAAAAAGGTGTGAGCATCATTTATCTGTATTGTAGAAACACCCTATCTTTGTTGCTGGCAAGGACCTTCATAGACATGAAGTCAATAGAACTAAGAAAGTAAGTGACATCAGATTGACTCATGAAGTTTCAGCAGACATGCTTTGGAGGATTATCTTACTTAATACATGTTATTTCCCGTGCTCCTACACTCACGTAGCAAGTCCATGCACTTCCACATTTACTGTTGGTACCGCAATTATTCTGGTGCAAAAATTAACACCAAAAAGGCAGTCTAGCGTCTAGGACGGGCTTAATCGGGATTAAGCACTGTAGGGTTAACACGTGAAGTGTCACCATAGCTGTATCTTTCGCTACAGAGTAATAGGATGAAGCAACATAATGGTGTACTCGTACAGCAAACCCAGCACCGGATGAACCACACAATTGTGTTGACAATGCTGATTAACTGCTCTGCCTTGCATTTGCAGTGATTAATTTCATATGAAAGCATCCTAATAATAGATGTTCAGACTGAGCTCTGCTATTTCACAACAGGACAGTAAATTGGCCAGTAGGAGATCTGGGTCTTGCTGAGAGATAACGACAAGTACCTGTCAGTACAGCAGTCAGTCTATTTCTACTTCCAAACAACCTAAAAATGCACATCCTGGTTACGCTGCTCGTATGGAGAAACCTGGAACGTCCTCAGCGTATCCAAAGGCTAACCAGGCAATCGGTGGTCTAGTCTACTGCTGCTAAGACTTCCTTTAAATACTTCTGCGTAACGCACAGTAAACCAAATTGGCTAAAAGGCAGCCTGGTCTGTAGCCTTGCTTCTAAGAGTCTCTCTCCAGATCTGCTCCCTTTTTTGAATGAAATAAAGTAGGTAATCATTCACACACCAAATAGGTACAAATAAGCCTTCCTAGTCGGTATTTATGACCCATTTGCTCTTGTGGAATCTTAAATGTAAGTAGAGTGGCATTGCAGTGGTTGTTAAGGCCTCCTGCAGCACAGGTTACAACGATTAAGACCCAGACCTTACTCCGTATGTGACTTTTGTCCTTTATCCCACTGTTGTCTGAATTATTTTTCCTTTAATTCATTCCTTGCGGGGCTTTGATCCTTCCACCCCTTATTCAGACCCTAGTGGAAAAGAGCTTCTCAAGGGTATGACGTGCTGCTCACAACCACTAA